CAAAGGTGAGTGTTGGATTTGGCTACTTTATATTAATTTATCCATATTGACACCTCCTAAATCAACATCAATCACTAAGAAAAATAATAGATTCATGATGGGCAATTTATTTAAGAAACACTTAATGTGCAATGTATTTAATTCTTCAGTGTACCTAGGAAAAAATAAAAATGCAAAGCAAATAAAACGCTAATTTCTATTGAAGAAGAATAGAACATTGAAAATGTGTTACCACATTTTTGTGAATTGCTGGCTGCCATTAGAAAAGCTCTGGAGATGATACAAAAGAACATGAAAATGAGATATGGGGGAAGATTTAACAGTTAGAACTATACTTTTGTGATGTAAATTATACAGATATTTTGTTGTAAAATTATTGTAAATAATGGACAAGTTGAACAACTCATAATAATTCATACTACCAGGAGAAATTTCACCCAAGCAAGCAAAAAAGACAACAAATTTAAAATTCATACCAACAAAGTATTTGTTTATTCATACACTAACATATATACATCTAAATTGCCTATTGTTACATTACACTGGTTATTGTGATTAGGTCATAAAAACAATTCCAAACTCTTTTAGTTACACTAGAAAGATTTTCACAAAGCACAAAAAAAATCTTTTTAAGAGTATAATGAACTCGTGGAATGTGTTGCTGTGGAGACTGTGGAATCTCCATCACTGGGCGTTGTACAAGCATCTGTCAAAAATATCCCACTGTTCTTCTCTGCAGGTGTAAGAAAATTAAATCACCTTCTGAGTTTTCCTCCAGCTGTATCATACGATTAATTTGGTCTGCTCTTTTGGCACTAGAAACCAAACGACACAAGAAATCAAAAATCTCTTAGAGTCAACAACCATAGACTCTGTTAGTGTAGTAGAGTCTAGGCACACAGAGAGCTCTCTTAAAATAATCAGATAACAGATTTTTTTAATCTCAGCAAAAAAGAGATTAAAGTCTTGGGGGGTAGGTGATTAACTTTATATGACTAGAAAATTTGAGAAGCAGAAGATGTTTCAGGAGAAGGAATTTCATATGTTTATTGATGAATTATTGCAAGAGTATTTAATGAAATGTTTTTCACTATCTCAGTAAGCTTCATCTTATTATACCCACTAAAGAGACAAAAATTGGTTTTATAAATTAAATCCAGCTAAATTCAATGAGAATTTGTTTGGCAAACAGAATGAACTAAATTTCCCTGCAATGCAGAGGTATTTTTATTCTTTCGCATCAGACCAAAATTTTTCTGTTAATACTGAAAATATTTAAACAAACACTCCACACGTGCAGTCAACAGTGTTCCATTTTAAACAGACTTCTATGTGAAATTTCACATTTACTCTTTACAAATACTCAAGAAAGTACGTATTTTAATTAAGGTCAAAATGTTACCATTTCCATCAGTGAACACACTGTAGTAGATATTTTTGGATCTGAAATCTCAAGTGATTTTTAAAAAGCTGCTATGATTCAGCTTGAATTTCTATTTGCATGTTTGCCTGAAGGGCTTCTGGATATTCTTAATATGGATAATTCATAGGTTTTGTTTTCTGGATGTTTACTCAGTTACTCATGAGAGTTCAGTTATTTGGAATACTTATGGTCAATGTCATCTCTGTTAACACTAAGGTCCAAGTGAAGGTGAGTAGTTTGAGAGGAGTTTGAATAGTTGCATCTCAGAAGGTCTGGATGAAAGTCCAAAACTGGGATACCAAACCAAATCTTGAAATACAAATCATCTTTCTCTGTTTTTGTCTTGGTCAGATATGTTGAAAATGAGTGTAGTAAATAGATGAATAGATTACTATGAATCAAAATATCTTTTTAAAGAGCTCTCCAAAAAGTGAAAAGAAACTGTTGGAAAAACAGTAGAAAAATTAAAATAAATTAAATTAAATAACAATAACTTATTTTTTTCCTGGAATAGGTCATTACAGAAATGGTAATTACAGACCATTTGGTTATGCAAAGAATTAAATCCTGCTTGGTTGTAGTTTATTTGTTTTACAGTGAAACTTTATTTTCTCAGTTGGTGTTCAGTTTATTTTTTCTCCTACAGTAAACACGCACCACTGGAAAATTAGGTGGAAATGCGAAAATTTTTAATATAAGGACCCTAAAATCTAGGAAGATGAGTACATACTTAACCAACTGAATAAATGACAATTTCAGAAGGCAAAAACCTTGTTTTCTGACTAACACATTATACAATACCAGGAAAAAAAAGCTGTATCATATAGACAGTTCAGATCCTTCTGGATCAAATTCTTCTCTAGAGAACTACAACTGATGTCAGTGGATTTGTGCCAAGGTTGAATTTGACCCAATATTATTTTCAAACTGAGATTAGAGAGCAAGTGAACCAGCAAAAGACAATTAAGTCAGTGATGCACTTACTATCTTGAGTACGCAAGCAATCTGAAAGCCAGCATAATGCAGTTCTTATTCACCAGGCATGCAAATAAATCAACTTTAATGTCAATAAAGTCAGTAATGACAGATTTTATCACTAAGTTATAACTAAGCAATAATGATTGGGAAAAAGGCAAGTAGCTCACAGCAGCTGAAGTGATTTTTTATTTTGTCCTAGGTGAAGCCAAGGGTAACTGAAAGGACTGGCCTTTACTCCCTCTATTATTAACTGCAAATCATTCTTGTCATGTTAGAAGGCAGATCACTTTTTTCTTCCCAAGTATTACTCACTGTTGTGGTGTGCCTCACACTAAGACCTCCTTCAGAGGTCCTGAAGTCCATTTCCAATTAGTCTCTGCATATTAGTGAGATGCAGTTTAATTTTAAGAGGGTCAGAAAAAAGACACATTTTTATTTATTCTGTAAATATAGTTAGTGATTTAATTCATCCATCAGCAGATACCAGAGAACAAAAAAGTATGATTTAATGCTTTACAAGGAGCAGCCCTATGCTGCATACTGTTAGACATATACAGCATTCCATTTGTAGTGGCTGCATTTCAGTGAGAAATAAAATTAGAGATGATAAGAGCCTTATTTCAAAAGTTTCTAAACTATATGATTGAAGGGCATAATAAAAATGCCAGATATTGTTTTCCTTGATGTGTAGAAGGAGGTCCTCAGCATATAAATATTTTTAAAACAGTATTATATTAAGTAGGCAGATGAGTAATTGAAACTCACACAGACATTTTAAAAGCAAACAAACTTTTTCAGCTCTTTGCAATGCAGTTTATATGAGTTGGTACAATCATTTTTCTGTCTCTGCATCTTAACCAAAATGTTACACATTTTTGTTATGCATGTAGTTGTTCTCCCCATGGGAGATGTTTAACAATGGTCAATTACTATGATTCAGTAGTTTTGGCTGACATTCAACAAATGTCTGAGCAGCTAATAACGCATTTAGCTCTGTTAGTCCACCCATCTGTCCATCACATCTGCCTGTCCTCATAAAGGCTGTCATTAAGCAGCATAGCATTTCTCTAACATCCTCTCACTATTCACTTGCTTTCCGAATGCCTGGAAGGTAAACAATGTGTGCTCACAATTATATCTTTTCATAAGCTAAAGATAAATATACACTTCCTTATAAATAAGCAACAAACAAAGCATTTCTCTTATTATTTTATTAGTGGCACTTTAATCCATCAAATTTATATGATTATTAGTCAACATTCAATTAAAATAGCTTGAAAACATGAGAAGACAACTTTCTCTTGTCCATAAAATTTTACAGCTACTCACCAGTAACATAACATCCAAAAACACTGTTTCAAGAAAAATAACAATTATTAAGCTTGGCATTTGGTATCTATTCTCGACCTCACATTGTGGATGTCTGTTACAGTCCTGTGGTGGTTACTAACTGCTTCTACAAACTATTTTAGCACCTCTGCAGCTTTTCCCATATGGGAGAGTCAGAGGGATATGGCTTATAAAAACAAAGATGCTGTTGTATTGGTGTGTATTCTTGCTCATGCTACATTTGAAATTATCATTATTCCTAAAGATTCAAATTCATCTTTTACTGCACACCAGTAGGAAAATTCTGACTATTAATCACAATTCTACTGATTCTTAATTAACGTGTTAGTTTTTTAGGAGGTTGAAAAGACAATAATATTGTGAGATTACTTTATAGTTAGGAGTTTTCTTCTCATGCTTTCTTTTTTCCTTTGTACTCATGATTGGCCAGCCTGGTCCATAGTTCTTTCGAGTTCAGAGATGTTCTCCGTTTATCTTGATTATTGAAACTTCTTGGTTTAGATTTAGCCTTAGAATAAAATACAAGTGTTATCACTAAATACAAAATCTTTAGATTTGATTAGAATAGAGAAAACACAGAACTGTCAGCATTTGATGAGAAGAGTGTCAGAAGAACTGAGGAGATGAAAAATATATAACCTGTACCTGAGTAGACCTTGTTACATTCACTTAGAGTGTGCAAAGCTTTGCAAATGCTTAGTTAAGGTACTTGACCTAATTATAAAGACCTCCTCAGTTTGTAAAGCTAGACAAGGGGAAAAAAAGCCAGCCCATGAAGAAGGTGTATATATCCAAGAGGCTGAGCAGCACTACTGCCTATCCCTGGTACAGTTAGAATGAAGAACACCACGTGGAGAGTGGCAGCCATCCACAACAGCGAATCAGCAATTCTAAGGTAGAAGCCATCACTTACTAATAGTTCTTAGCAACTGCTAATAGTAACTACTTCTTAGTTCTTAGTAACTACAATAGTAACTACTCTGTTCCCCTCTCCCTGCCCTTCTTTAATTTGTTTTTGTTTCCCCTTGGCTGAAATGTAGTGTGCTTTTAGCAGTTCAGTTGAAGGACTTGAGAAAACCTTGACTGTTTATTTCCAAGCTTATTCCCGATATCTGCAGCAAAGGTGAGCTATGAAAACCACAAATTTCTTGTTGGGATGTTCTCACCCTAGCATGAAACAACTCTTACAATACATCATTTTCAAACACAATACATCATTTTCAAACACAGACTTGGTAGTCTTCAAGGAAGACCTTATGGTTTGCACCATTCCAAAGGCAATTTGCCTTTTCTCCTCGTTTACAGAAGAAACCTGTTAAAGGAGAAGGAGGAGCAGCTTCAGAAAAGACATGATAACAGCCACAGCACTGGTGAAAGTCCAGTCTTTGAATCCTACTAATATATATTAGGTATTGAATGTCAGATTGAGTAAACTGGCACTGAAAACAAAAGCCAGTATGTCCTCTGTTCCTTTTTACCATTTGTGCCATGGGTACATGGAAGAGAGGGAGGCAGGTAGTGAGGAGCTCATTCCTTCTGCCATAGCATGGTGCAGTTGTCATGCTGGTCACCATGGAGAAGACAGATGAACGCCTTCACATGGGTTACATTTTGCATTGGTCTCCCAAAAATACCTGGTATTATGAAACCAGTAATAACCTCCTGAAAGTAAAAAATGGTAATGTACATTTATTCAGTTTGAAAAAGAAAAAATTTCTAATGACTTGGAAAGTTTTCTGTCACTTTCAGTCAGCAGATAAAAAGAACCCCCCAAAAAAATGTCAGATAAATGCAGATATTTTTATCTAAAGATAAAAATAAACTCAAACCAGAAAAAAACCAGCTCTTTTAGTATGCCTTTTCTTTCAGATATTTTTCTCTTTCACTCAGTTAAACTTTTTTTGATGATCTGGTAAGATTCTGAGTGTTTTCATCTTAAGAAGGTAAGGTTTGATGTCAGTAGGAGCAGGGCACAAGAAATAACTTTCATTAGTAGTTGACCATTGTAACTTCTGACTACAATCCAATTGGAGTGTTCATTTTATTGTTGATTTTATGTAAAGGAAGAAGTAAATATAAATGCAAATGCATAAAAATATACATAAAATTATGTATCTAAATAAAACAAAAATTTAAAATAATATAACAATGGACATATAAAATCACTTATCCTTACATTAAAAAACCCCAATAAATATGTGTAAGCTATTAAAAATATATCTATAAAAGTAACCATCCACAAAGAATATTTGAGAACCAGAGAAATGTCTGGATGCCTTGGCCCTCCTTTCAGTTGAAAAGCAGTTACGTAATTTAAAATGCTACTCTTCTTTTTCAGAGCAATGGAAGGCTTTGCTGAGCCTTTTATAGGACACATGACACAGAGACAATTTTTCCCAGCTCGGGCTCAGAGGGATATCTGGAGCAACTGGAGTCAAAGTGCAAAGCACAAATACAAAAACATTCTTTTGCATCAGCTACTTTCTCTTCCTTTTTTGTCCTTCTTTATTCAGATGGAGCTGCTTGTTCAGTCTTCCAAGTTCAGTCATGCTGTTTGATTTTCTTTTTGAAGGAGAAAAAGACTCTGGCACCAGAATCACTGGTATTTTTTGTGTCAATGTAAATGAGGGTAGAAGTCAGCTTAAGCATCCAGTTGGGGCATTTCCCTGAATAGGAGCAACTTGGGGTGACACAGAACTGCCAAAATGTAACAATTCCCTACCCTTCATCTCTGACATGAAGAACAGGCACAGTGAAGAGGACATGATCAAAGCATTCAGCCTTCATTGATCACCCACAGAAATCTGTTTAAAGCAAAACGATCCAGAGCCACAATATTTCATCTCAAGAACCAAGCTGAGTGTAAGGCAGCCACCTCTTTGGTGATTTTGCTTATTTGGCAAGATTTTACTTCTTTCTTAATTAATGTAAAGATTAACCTACAATGGCTACTAGTTAGAACCTCTTGACTAAAATGTAGCTGCAATGTCATGCTCACTGTGCACTCTTTGCATACATCCTTATGATTCTAAAATTCTTGCTGTTTCAAAAAGTTTTTCAAATTTTGCAGGTGTTTGATAAAATGAATTTCATTTCCTCAGTTGTGGTCATGTCAGCTCAGCTTCCTTGTTATCACCTAACTATAAACACAAAAGGTCATATACCTCATACAGAGTGGGACCTGCATGGCTGTTCTATTCTGAGTTATAAATTTAACATTACAACTTTTCAAAAAGAAAAATATCCAGAAAAGCACACTTAAAATACTGATTAAATTCAATGATACATACATTTTTCTTAAAATGTCACTCTACACATACTTGAAAAGAAACTCAAACACATTACATGACTTCAAGATTGCCCTTGCAACCTTCATCAGCATCAAGTTTACAAGTACAAATGCAAGATCTCCCAAACATTCTCACCAAGAAAACTTAATTCCTCAGAGGAATTATGTTTACATTGTCCATTCCACCTGGAAAGCACTCAGAAATAATGCTGATGGCTGGAACTGTACAAGGGGAAAAAAAGTAGAGAATCTGCTGTGCATTAAATTTTGAGTTCTATTTTGTGAGGAGGGAAGGGAGGGGAAGGGGAAGGGGAAGGGGAAGTTCACCAGAGCTTTTATTGAGAAATTATAGCACATTTTCCTGCCCTAGTCTATCTAGAGCATATAGTTGGGTATCTAATGCTTATGTTTTGCATTAGTTTAACCACAGCTTCCAGATTTTGAAACCATTTGCATACTTCTAGTTAGGTATGTTGTAGATGTTCATCAGTGGACTATTACTTCCCTGTTCTCTTGTTCTGGAAAGTGCTCCATGACTGTGACAGCATGAACAATGAAAATAATTGCTACTGGATTTTATCCTGTGCTTGCTGAATATAACTCAAAAATTTGCTTTTGAAAACCATTGCCAATAAAAATTTGACACTCCTAATTTCCTTCAAAACTTGGTTTTGAAGTATTTGGGATGGTCTTATACAAATAATATACTAAAAACTAACTTACAAGTTGTTTAACTTTTGAAAAACACTGAATATCCTAAGGCAACACGTTTTCTCATCTTTTTCATCTTTTGATCATGTATTGTCATCTTTAGCTTGCAGCAGTTGTTCACTCTTGAAGAACCTATTGAATAGAGAAATAATTCTGGGTTTTTTTCCTTGTTTGAGGTAAGCAATCAAGAAGCTTCATTCAAGAAGCTTCACTTGTATTTTAGTTACCTAACAGTAATCTCAAGAGTTCTTCCACAGTTGTAAATGTGGAACATTCACCTAATCATTAGATATGTACCTGTCTGATTTCAGCCTGGACGGGGTTAATTTTTGGCAGTAGCTGGGAGGGGCATGGCTGAATGGACATGGCCAGGGTCCAGATGTTTTTCTATACCCTATATATCTATATATCACTGCAGGTGTGGGAGGGAAGGGACTGGCTTCCACAGAGAAGGATGTTCCTTTTGGGTGGAATTGTCTGGGATTTTATTTGATGTGTTAATTCTTTCTTTGCTTTATAGCTCTTTATAGATCTTGTTATCAATATTGTTGCTGTTATTCTTCTTTTTCTTATGTCATTGTTATTTCAAGTGAATTGTTCTTATCTCAACCCCTGATCCATGCTTGTTGTGTCTCCCATTGGAGGTGGAGATGGGAGCCACAGGTGGTCTTTTTAGTGGGAGTGCTAAACTGGAGAAGGCCACTCCTAACCACAACAGTATTGCACAGACTTTATAAAGTTTGTAATGAGTAAGAGTTTTGAAAATATTACTTTTCTTGTTATTGAAAATGCTATTATTATTATTTTATATAGAATGTATATTTAGAACTGAACAACACATTTTTTTTTATTTTAAAAATAGGTATTCATTTAAATTAGAAGTAAAAAACAAGCCAAAAACAGACCACTTGGCATTTCAGACTCATTTGTTATTTTATTTCCATAATGTTTGTTGATTATGATAATTGATCACTCCAAAATTTCAAAGATATAATTAATTGGTAAAAGTAAGTTCATTGCCTTTTATGTGAAATATTTTAATTAACAAAGAACATTTAAATAAATTACCATAATATTGAAGGTCACACAAATATTAGCTGCAGTTGTGCTCGCTGTTGCATAGATACATATTTCTATATAAAGACAGAAGGAATAAAATTAATTTTATTAAAATGAGATTAATATATTTCATTTGGAGTTTCGCTTCAAGCATCCTATTGTCCCTGGCCTTTTAGCTAAGATTAAATCTAATGTCAGTTTAATACTATATGTGACAATGTAATTTAATCTGCTTAGTACTTTGGCAAAGCTGGAGCAACAACTTAATTTGGTCTGTCCTTTCTTCAAATACTGTAACTCTATTTTCTGTAAAATCAAGCAAATGTGATAGGAAAGTGACCTACCAAGAATTACCACAATGACTGCTGACATCTATTGTACACAATAGCACTAACACAGATATTTTTCTCACCACCGTTTTCTTATCAAAATTTGTGGGAATTCACCCAGTGCTTTCTTGGGCATCTGGTAATAAAACTTCTTTAGGCAGACTAAAGAGAGAACTTCGTATCTGTAATTTCCCAGGTGGTGGCAGAGCCATTACTGTTGGCAGCTGAAAAGATGTAAGGATGATTACTTTCTTCTTTACTGTGTATTTAAATGAAAACTTAGTTGTTATAGCACTTTGTATGGAGCTGAACCATCAAGTTAAACATCTTTTTAGAAAGATTTCTTGCAAACAATTTAGGAAAAGCATTGGTTGTGGGGTTCCTAGATCAAAATTTAAAAATTGTGTATAGTAAAAGCAAAATACTAGAGATCATTTTGTCTAACGTCTATTCTATACATATTAAATACTAGACTTTCAAATCAAGATTAGAATCAATTTCAGCTAAAGTTGTGACCTTCTGTAGCTGAAGAAAAAAGTGTTAGGTTGATGACAAGATTAATGATATTTACATGGCAAATGACAGAACTAAAGCTAGAGTACTGATTAAAGATAATTAGTCAGTGTAATGCCATTTTGAACCTATGCAAAATTGTATAAAATCAACAAATAGTCAGAATTTGGTTATGTTCTGAATTCATAAGCAGTAAGGACATATTTGCAAAGGTTCTGTCATTTGTACTTATTTGTTTTCTTATGAAGATCATTTTTTCTTCTGCTCTTTCAGTAGGTCCTGAGTGTTGCTATGAATTCTGCTATAGTTCTGGAGAGAAAATATTTATAAAAATCACCCTTGTATAATATATCCCCTTGAAAAATCAAATCAAACTGTTCATCAACTCTAGAACAAATAAAGCAACATTTTTACATGCATTAGTAACCTGGCTTTGAATTTCTTACGCAAGAGTCTAGGTCTAATTGAAACTTTTTTCATGGTATCTGTGCTACTTTTTGCTAGGATGTCTGAAAACTTTTCTTCTGACAGGAAATTGACATGGTCTGTCTAATCTGCTTGCCCACATATTACCAAAAATTAATAAGAATGTTATTACCTTTGACTCTATAATCACCCTGCTAAAAAATTCAGAAAATACCTCATTAAGTTCAAAAGGAAAGGGCTCATCCATAGAAAAAGTGAGTTTTTCTTTGCTTAGTTTCCACAAGAAGTCAGGTTATAAAATAATGAGGAACTTTCAAAAGTACTTTCTGTTCTAA